GTATCTTGCTCTTTGGCAGCTGAGATAGTTCCTGCCCACCCTGAATCCATGGAAGAAAATGGATGCATGGACCTCAAATGATTATATGATCACAATAGTTCAGTTCAATTTGAAACAATTCCATTTTATTCAAAACAAAGTTGTATCAAGGCACTTCAAGAGGACTTCAGGCACAAACTGCAGGCTTACTTATGGTTGCCCTACTAAAAGTAGAATTGGAGGCATAGCCTTTAGCTTTCAGTTTGGATTTGGGAGACAGACACGGCCTGTTAACTTTCCTTAATGATAAGGCTTATAGTTGGGGCTGCATCAGGTTACCTTGAACCATCCCTTAGTTATACTGCTATAGATTCAGGCTGCTTCGGGGCTTCATGCGATAGTGATTCACTTTTGACTCCCCATGTGTTTATATACCACTTATAGGGGTATAAAGCTTATAAAACTTTGTTGTAATTTGGTTCTCTATAAATAAACCTGAAACATATTGAATTAGATGCAACTTTATTCCTTTAATTTTTCTTCCTGTATGGTGCAAACACTTTTACAACACTTTTACTAAAGCAGCACCTATTTGTACTTGCTGACCTTATTTTAAATTTGCATATAGATTATTCTGTTTTTATATTTATTCATTACTTGCTCTGAGACTCTTAAACATCACCAGGGCTCAAGCTAGAAAAATAATAACTTAAAGCATCTTTTCAACATTAATTCAGGCATGCACTTTTAGCTCACTGACGATATGCCACAAGGTTACATGTAGTGGCCTGGGTTTGAGTCTGACCTCAGGCTCTTTGTTGTGTGTCTGACCCCACTCTCTCTCCCTGCTTTCCTGTACAGCCTTCACTATGCCATCTAATAAATGTGGAAAATGCTCAATAAAAGCATGTATTCAATGGATCAAGCTGCAATAGGTCTATTAACGTGCACAGCTGGGATTTTTATCAGCTTCTTTCCTGGCTTCAGATAGGTTGAACTTTATTATTAGATCTTGTTCAGCCTTACTGACCAACTAACCTCATCATATGTTTCCCATATTATAGTTTTATCTCCCTTTGTAAAATCAGCCACTCTGCTGCCTTTACGTTCAATGCACTTGTAGCTAGACCTGGAAACTTACTTTGATTCTGCAAGGTGCCCAGAGATCTGTACTACAAATGGTCCAAACCTCAGTCTACTAATGATTCATGGGGTGTACTTAGTTTTGCACAGCAGTATATTTTGCACATTTGTGTATCAATCCATTTCATAAAGGCTTATCCAATTTAAGAAGACAATTTAGATGGACAATACGTATATACACTATTTTTGTATTAAATATATACACTCATCTACCACTTCTTTATGGACAAATATCAAATCATCCAGTTTCATGGTACACATTATGTATATTTTTCCTTCCAGCTGGAAAATACCATATTTCCCGGACTACAAAGCGCACCTGAATATTAGCTAAAATCAGGGGAAAATCCTGTTTTGTACATACATTAGCCGCACCTGACTAAAAGCCGCAGGTGTTTCAATGTTGACTTATCATATGTAAGAGAATATGCACAAAGGGAATTGTCAGGAAAGAAATGGCTGTTTGGAGACACACCCCTTTTATTAATATTTTGAAAAACAAGTTATGGGTACATATTTGCACATGTAGTACATAACAGTAACCTATAGCACACCAGAAAAATAGATTCAGACTACCTTTTAGGCTCAGGTGCAGTGACACGGCTTTAACAAGAAGAAAAGTCAGTCATTCACCACCATCTTTCTGCGCACTAAAACTACCAAAGTCCTCTTCTCCAGTGTCGGAAACGAACAGGCTCAGGATGGCTTCGTCATCCACTCTCAGCTTCTATCCTTCGTTGTCACTTTCAAAACCAAACAAATCCTCGTTGTCAGTGTCAGAGTCGAACACCCTCAGAAGGGCCGTGGCGGTGTCCTCCTCTCCATCATGCAGCAGTCCAGCCCTTCGAAATCCGTTGGTGATCGTGGATGTTTTCACACTTTTCCACGCTGTCAGATTCCACCGGTGGAGTTGAGCATAACTTGCTTTTCGCAAGTTTATTGCCGCTTGTCATCCACGCCTCCGGCTGAACGTGTAGTGCTACTTTGAAGTTTGTTTTTCGCGCTACTTGTACGGCACTATGTTGCCTGGCGGATGGACATGTGACCAACATACCACTCTTGAACCCCGATACTGTGTGTCTGATCACATGCCCTTCCGCCAGGCAACGTAGTGCCGTACAACAGCGGAACAAACAAAACAAATCGTCTTACGACATGACAAAAATCATGGACAATCCATAGAAAAGCCGCACCTGACTAAAAGCCGCAGGGTTCAAAGCTTGTGCAAAAAGTAGCGGCTTATAGCCCGACAATTACGGTACACCATGTCACAAATCGCAAATCATCTCAGAGTGGTTTCTTAAACAGGTTGCAAGTGCAAGAGCAAGTTGAAGCAAATGCTTAAAGTCATCATGTTAGTGGACTAAAATGTCTAAGGAATGTTTCCAGCACCGGGGTGGCTGTAGCTCAGGCGGTAGAGCAGGTCATCTACTGATCGGAAGGTTGGTGGTTTGATTTCTGGCTTCCTGTAGTCTGCATGCCAAATATCCTTGGGCAAGATATTAACCCCAAATTGCTAGAGTAGTGAATGTGTGTGAATGTTACTTAGAAAGCACTTAGAACAATGTGCTTGTGCGAATGGGTGAATGCACAAGTTGTGTAAAGCGCTTTGAGTGCTCAGAAGAGTAGAAAAGCGCTATATAAGAACCAGTCCATTTACCATTTACCTTGTTGAATATAAACAGCAAAGATATGAAGCTTATGTGTAAGTTCAATAAGGAAGATCTGTAATCAGTCATCTGTCTGCTTTCCTGGGTGTTAGACTGTTTGCCTGTTCTTTACATCACTACTGCTTTCCCACACTGTCAGTCTCAATACTGACTCCATTACTCTAGTCCAATCATCTTCTTGCCCTCCGTCTTTGAGCCAATCAACTTCCACTTTCTGTAGTTTAAATCTGTGCTCTCCATCATTCTCCCTTTCACACTCTCATTCGTGTAACCTTCCTTAAACTTATCTCCAACTCTCAGACACCCCAGTCTTCATCTTTACCACCACCAGCATCTAGACTGATGACCCATCATGGTAGAACAGTATGATTAGATTTAGAACGGTGTCCTCAGAGTCTAATTGCCAAATACATTAATTTCTTTATCTTAATAAATCATGTTCAGTTCTCCCAAGTGATCTTTCTTATTGAACAGATAACTGTGTATTAAATACTAAGCATATATTATACAGTGTTTGTGAAAGATGGATGTAGTCACAGTAAGGTCAGCCATGACTTTTGATGCCTGTCAGGGTTCCTGGGTCGTTGACCCAGTGATTTCAGTTTGTTCATGTTCAGTTTAGTTTGCCACATTAATGTTCTCACTTCCTGTCTTTTCCCCGTGTCAGCTTGTCCCCCGTGTCATTAGTCAGATTATGTTCAGCCCTGTACTCGCCTGTTTCCAATCACTGTCATCATTCAACCTGTGTATTTAGTTCCTCGGTTTCACCAGTTCTTTGTCGTGTCATTGATGTACGTCTGATGTTACGTTGTCCTTCCCGTGTGTTGCCTCAGTTCAGTCAGCCGTTCAGTTGTCTAGCCAGTCAGTGTCCGTTCACCCACTCCCTATAATAAACCTTCACCTACCTGCCAGTCCTGCGTTTGGGTTCCTTCTTCCTCGCTTCCACACAACGCCTGACAATGCCTCCCCACTGATGTTTTGGCCACCACTATGTTGATGTTTTTGAGACTAAAGCAACCATATTTGGATGAGCACATGCTCAATTATCAGACAGCAAAGTTGATTAGCAAGCTGCATTTATAACCTGAGACAGACACAGTTGAGTTAATCCTGAGCACCAGATTAATAACATGCTTTGAATTTAACCCAAAATAACTGAAGCATAAACCTATGCAGTGGTTTATATCAGACAGCAAACCATTTTTCAGATAGTTTCAATAAACTTCAAAATGAAGTTATTAAAATTGATTTTTGTAACAGGCTCTAAACATAGTTTTTCACTTCCTGAAGTGGAAATTTTAACAATTTTAAACATTTTTGTACAGTAAACTGCTTCCCTAAAATGCTCATTTAAACTTCAGTGGTAAAGGGAGGGTTTATTTTATTTACTTGTTTTTGGCATGTGGGTGACATGTGGGTAACCCTAACCCTTGACATTTGTAGATTTGCAGCAGCTCAGTTGCAGCTGGGAGCCTCCAAACTGGTCACTGAGCAGTTTCAAGTACTATTAAGCAGTGGCTGAGAGAGAAAGAGCATCACTCCATTTCTTGGTGCTCTCCTGTTTATAAGATGGACAGAAACTGCTCTCACACTTCCTCCTTTTGCTGTGAGAGCTATGACACATGGCATGTCTGGACTACATGAGATAAAACAAAAATAAAAACGCCCAGATTGACTGGTGGTGACACTCAGCGTACTAAACTAACGCCTGGGGCTCATCACTATCTTCCTGTAGACTCTGTTTATGGCAGATGAGGATGTAGAGGTTGTAGAAGTTTGTTCTCATATTGAAAAGATTATTGACGGCAAAACTGGACATGGAACCCTACAGATTCCTCTTTAAGTAGTCACAGACAGGGCAGTCATGAAAGGTTACCAGCTGGAAGACATTGGTTCTTGTCCCATTTGAACCTGTGCTACACTTGGTTTGTTTGTTTTTTTAACCACCTGCACTGCAATTTCTTTTCTAGATTTTAGATTCACTTTAACTCTCTGCACTCAAAAAAGTCAACTAAGGCAGTTGTTTGATTAATTCAATAGACATTTGTCTATTTAACATGAACATATTGAGTTTAGGTTTTTAAATCATTATCAGTTGTTGGTTTAACATAAAATAACAAAAAGTTTAATGAACTAGATTTGCATTCTTCAGTTCAATTAAATGTAATTATTTTAAATCAACAACTCTAAAACCGATGCCTAGTGCGCATGCTCAAACTTCCCAGAAGTGAAGAGGCGGGAACGCGGACAAAGTTATATGTGTTCAGTGAACTGCCGTTTCTCTCTGCGGAATCTTCCACAATACAGGTAAGTGATAAATAACTGAAAATATCTTAGTCAAACGAAGTTGTTCCGTCGGTTAATTGTTTAACAATGTTTTTAATTCCAAATGTGTAAGTTTTCATTAGACAGCGGGAGTGGCGCAAATACTGTGAAAATCGGGTATTAGACGGTGCCAATCGGTACTGTCTAATACCTGATTTCTAATCCGCTCCGGCTATATTTATATTATTATTAGCATTTCCACTTAATTGCTTTTTTTTTGTTACCCGTTTCTGCAGTTTTATAGTGTTTTTAGCGGTTATTGATATGTTTAGTTCAATATTTAACACGTTTGTAATTCACTTTCAAAGTAAACGAAGTTAGCTAAAGCTAGGTAAAAGTTCAATGGTTGTCTCATTGAACTTTTACCTAGCTCTGTTAGCATTCACTTTGGTTTTAAATGATGGTTATTGCAAGACATGGTCTTTCTTCACTTTTTTTATTATTTGCATTTCTTCTTTATTTCTCGATCCTTTTTTTCAGCATTCGGCCTCTCGCGGTAATGCAAGTTAAACTAGCGCGGAAGTTGCTAAATATTAGCTGTGTCCAAATTCAGGGGCCGCATCCTTCGAATTGACTTGAATACTAGTGCATGGGAAAAAGAGCATGAACACGAGGTCAAAGGAAAAGGCAATGGCGGATAGTTTTGAAAATTGCCTGTCGGACCTTTACCGCAACTACCAGCATCTTTATTGCATAGTGTGAAACACTGCTATTACATTTGGCAACAGATTGGATATTTATCTGTGAATTTTATATTGCAAGAGGTATTTGTATTTTTTTTGTACATTTCCAACAAAGTTAAAAAAAATCCACTGTGGAATTTTTATTAAATAATTGTATGTTTTCTTTACCATAGTAACACCACAAAGAAAGCTGCCCCCTTTTTCTGATTGTTTGTGCCTCCTCTTTAATACATGGTAAGTTTTTACCATCATACATTTTTTATGATACTTTTATGATTTAATCAAAGTGAAAAAAAAGGTGCCAATAAAACCATCCTTAAAACTGCTTCTCTTTTTTTCTTTCAGTGACTTGTATGTGGCAGTGCAAGCGTTGTTCCATCAGGGAGAGTAGTAGGTACAAATTATTGAAACACTGTAGATTACATCACCATTATGGACCCAGCCAGCGTTATCTTTGTATATATGTAAATTGTCCATGCACATTTAAGACTTGGTGTGGACTAAAAACACATGTTTACAGATGTCATTCTTCTCATTTTAAACAGACAGCTGTTAGTTCAGTCACTTTTAGGTGTGAGTTATGTGACTGCGGTGACCTTACCACAGAGAGAGATTATTTTGGACATATTGTGTCACATTTACGAAATAGTGAGACAGTAACTTGTGTATTTTCAGGCTGCTCTTTCAAGACAAATATCTTTGGTACATTTTATTCACACAAAAAGAGGAAGCATCATTCAGATTCACTTAAAGATTTCAAGGTAGGTTTAGTGTTGTGTTTTGACCCAGCACAACATTCTGATGACCCTGAAGGTGTAGGTGCTAGTTGCTCTGATTTTTTAGATCCTGAAGTTGGAACTGAGTTTGTGTCAGGAAGTAATCATTCCACTGAAAATTTGACAGATCTTGTTGAACAGAAAATAGCTGGGATATTGTTAAAATTGGAATATATATTTCAAATTCCAGCTACAGCAGTAGATGGCTTGGTGGAGGAGTTGAGTTTTTTGTTAAGTTCTGCTTGTACTTCAATCACAAAACGAACTGTTGAAGAGGTATTCAAGAGCCATAACCTTCATATTGGTCAGGCTGTTGTTGAGGAGCTTGCCAATACAGTGTGCATTTCTAACCCTGTATCAAAAATTTTAGCTAAGTGTGGTCCTCTTGGAACTTCATTTAAAAGAAAACAATACTATAAGCATAACTTTAGGGTCGTAGAGCCTGTTGAGTACATTTTATCTGTTGATCAACGAAAGTCATTTCAGTACATTCCTTTATTAAAGTTATTGCAAGAATTATTGAGTCATAATCACATACTTGATAGAGTGATTGAGCAACATATAGGACAAGAAAAAAGTGAGGATTTGGCTAATGGTCTGAGTGTTTACAGGTCTTTCCGAGATGGCAAGCACTTTAAAACCAATAGCTTTTTAGCTGTTGACGTGTTGAGAATCTCCATTACACTTTACATTGATGATTTTGAGGTTTGCAATCCTCTTGGAACCTCACGCAAAAAACACAAGCTTTGTGGTATTTATTGGGTCTTGGATAATTTGCCTCCAGGCTCTCATTCAGCACTCTCCTCCATTTACCTAGCTGTTCTTTGTAAAAGTGACGATTTAAAGACATTTGGGTTTGAAAAGGTGTTGGAACCCCTGTTAAAAGATCTTGTGATCTTGGAACAACACGGTGTGTTTATTGCTCAGTTAAATGAGTTCGTTAAAGGCACTGTAAATTGTGTAATAGCTGATAACCTAGCTGCTCACGGGCTTGCAGGATTTGTTGAAAATTTTTCTGGGGAACACATATGTAGATTCTGTGTCGCAAAGAAAACTGAAATTCAGTTTTTGACAGCAGACGTTTTTGAGTGTAGAACACGTGAACTCCATTTGGCTCACTTAAAATCTGCATTGGAAACCTCAAGCTTGTGTTGTGGGGTTAAACGGGACTGTGTTTTGACTAAAAGTCTCTCTCATTTTGATGTTATTTCAGGCTTCCCCCCGGATATAGTACATGATTTTTTTGAGGGCATTATACCTGTAGAACTAGCAGAATGCTTGGCTGTTTTGATCTCCAAAAAGTATTTCACCTTAGAAAAACTTAACAGTTCAATCCAAAGTTTTGACTACAAATGGGGCGATAAGACAAATCGTCCTCACGTCATACCACATACCTACTCAAGGAAAAAACATATAGGGGGGAATGCACACGAAAATTGGGCTCTGCTTCGCTTGTTGCCTTTTATTATTGGTCCCCTTGTTCCTGAAGATGAACAGGCCTGGCATGTTCTTTTGGATCTCAAGGATATAGTGGAACTTGTTGTTGCCCCTATCCACTGTGATGAGTCAATATCATATCTTGAGTTCAAAATCAGAGAGCATCGGCAGAGATACAAAGAACTTTTTCCAAACAGCCGTATTCTTCCTAAACACCATTTTGTAGAGCACTATCCTGTCATGATACGTCTCTTTGGACCTCTCGTTCATAAGTGGACAATGAGGTTTGAGGCCAAGCATAGTTTTTTTAAACAGGTTGCTCGCCACACCAACTGTTTTAAAAACATACCTCTCACACTTGCCAGGAAACACCAGCTTGTCATTGCTCACCATTTGCATATGTCTGATGAGAAAAAACAGTTGGTGGTAACTAATGTTTCATCAGTGCCTATTGATGTGCTCCAAAGTGACATTGCAGCTGCTTTTAACCAAAGGCTTCCAGATGAAACTGATGTTCACATTGCGAAGAATGTGTCATACAATGGTATGAACTACAGCAAAGGAATAATTGTTATCCATGGAGAGTCATTTGGCCTGCCTGAGTTTGCTGAAATTTTGCAGCTCTGTGTTTTGGAAGGGAAGTTGCATTTTTTTGTGAGAAAGATATCTGCTTGGTATAGGGAGCACTTTAGAGCTTTTGAACTGAGCACGTCACATGTGAGGGAGGTGCTGTCATTGCACATGAGGAACTGGTTGATGACTATCCCTTAGCTGCCTACTCTGTTGGAGGACTGCGTCTGGTTACTCTAAAGAGATCTGTGAGTTTTCTTGGAAAACAAAATTAATACTTGTAAGTATTTTTTATTATTTTTTCCCCCTATAGCATTTGTGAAATTGTCATGCTTTTGTTTTGGTCTGTTAGCTGTTGAAAATAAAACTATTTTAAAATGAATTGTTTATGTATGCATTAGAAAACTAAGATTTTTATTTCAAAACACAAATCAAAACTAAAGATTTGTTGAAAATTACATTTTCTGAGTGAAACCTGTTATGATTTGGTTGATTAAAGTGTTACAGAATTTCTAATTCCACCATATTGTTTTCACTGTGAACTGATTTTCATAAACACAAGATGGTCTCCAGCAAATAATTCCTTCCCTTCAACTTAGTTTGAGCCACCCAAATTTTACCAAATGGTTTGTGCCCTTACCTCACCTTGTCACCAGAGTTAAGACAGGTCCATATAATTATGAAAGTATATAATGTTTACACATAGCATGCGTCGTCTCTCATTTGTACTTTACTGCAGGATGATGATATTAAGGATAACCGGAATATATAATGGATGGATGGATGATGATGATATTCCTGTTGTTTCCAAAAATCTGCTTTTAAAGTACAGTGAATTTTTCAATATATTAAGTAATTACCTGCCAGCGTCTGTCATCCTCTACAGTATTGCAGCAGCAGCATCATAACTTCATTTGCTGTGTTTTTTTTTTTTTGTTTTTTTTTTCAGTTAGAATTAAAGTATTCATTCTACTGCTTATGTCTCTGGGCTGACGTAGCCTCAGAAAGCTCTTTTTACATTCTAGTCTAAACAGATAAGATAAATTGTGTTTTAACCTTTAATGTATTTCTGCTTTGTTTTCACAACAAAAAATTGTATTTTTAAAGTTGCACAGAAGTGCACAAGGGTCCCTAATTGTTGCTTGTTGATATGCCAAACGGTGTCTTTTTCTAAAAGAACTGCTGATATTTTTCAGATCTTCAAAATGACGTCACCCCTAAGACTGCGGATAATCCTGGGTGAAGATGATGCCAGGAAGTTGATTCTTCCTGCAGGGACACCGGTCTCAATTGAAGATTTGTGCCACACAGTAAAGACAAGTTTTGGATTACAGCAAGATATTCGACTTCAATATCAAGATGAGGACTTTGGAAATGAGTTCATGAATATGTCAGATGTCTCAGAAGTAAAGGACAAAGGCACCCTTAAGGTGATATTTTTGCAAAGCCCACAGGAGGAAGATGCAAGAACTTCTCAAAGCCAAGCAACAGAGTCTGTATCCATCTCCTCTGCTGACACAGATGATACAGAGCCTATTTCATCTTCAGGTTCTTCACCATCCTCAAGGCACTGGGTTTGGCCAAGTGTCTTCACTGTACCTCAATTTAGCTATGAGGCAGAATTTGAACTCGAGAAGGCCAATACTGCCTGCGCCAATGGGGGAACTCTATTGAACCCTTCACCAAAACTGAAATCCCAAATTCTGGAACGACTGGCTGAAGAAATATATAAATTCAAAGCCTACCCAACAGACAATGATCTGACTGACGTTGCAGAAGCTCTTGTGAAAAAGCATCCTTGCCTTAGAGAGCAGGGGTCTTTCAATGGCTGTTATGGGTGGAAGATTAGCCTAAAATATAAAATGGCTAACCTCCGCACCAAACTGAGAGGCCTTGGATGTACAGAGGTGACCATAAACTCCATCAAAAACAAGTCTGGTGACAACCGTCAGGCAGCCTTCAATGTGAAGAAACCCAAAAGAGCTGAAGTTAACTATTGTCCACAGCATCCAAAAGGAGAGACATCAGAAAGTCTGGAACAGGAGAGAGTTGCAATTCTTTCTGAGTTGACTAAAAGAAATAATGACTCTGTTGTGAGTGTGAAAATGGAGAAGACTTTCTCATACAGAAGGCAAGAAGTTCTTCAGGGTCAGCCGATGGTTGCAGACTTCAAAAGCAGATGGCCAGCTCTGTTCACTGCGAGAGAGGCAAGTGTGGTTAAAATGCATTTGGATGTTGCATGTAATTTATGTTTTGTAGTCCAAAACTAAAAGTACTATCTGTTGTTGGTTCCTGTATCACTGAAAATAGTAATGTGAAAAAGTAAGTACCGTTTAATTTAGTAGGTTTTATGTATCAGGACATAAGAATCATCCGGATCCTACCTCGTCATAAAATGTTGTAAATGCAGCCTCAGATGGCATTCTGTTAACACTTAAACCAAAACCTCTACTGTTATACAGGTACTCTGGTCTGCTTTTTCACAGGTCTACATTGAAGAGACATTTGTGCATTTGTTTTTTAAGCCTCTTTTTGAAGACGCAACGTAGCGGCATATCAGAGTAATATTCCCGCAATGGTGTGTCTTCTAAATGTACCACTATGCCTTGGCAAAACGAGATATTGCTGCATTCTGTGCCTGCAAGCTTCATAGTAATATTACCGCAATTTTGCTTCAATGCTGGACTTGTGAATGAAGTCTTTGCGCTACAGAGGGAGGTCTTCTGATGACATATGGAATGTGTGCTGGCCTCGGCTGACCAGGACATTCTCAGCTTTACCCACAAACGTTTATCAACCAGTGATTTTTTTTTTTTTTTAATTTTATTTTTTTTTTACCCAGAAGGGATCAGTCTAATTGAGTGCTATGACTTTTCCTGGGTTCAGTGAATGCAACAGAGGCATGACTGTATGACCAATCAGACAGGCATTGTGCTAAAACAGAGAATCCTCCACACTTTATTGTCAGACAGCTGGAGTTTAATCTAAGCTACCATTATTTAGAGTGGTCCCGAAAGAAAAGAGGGACTATTCTCCGTCGTGTTTTAAAGCAGGCGTTGCGTCCGTCTGCCTCTTGCCTTCCTTACTGCAGCTCCTCGCCACAGACAGCTCATTGCACATTTTCTCCAGCTCGTAACTAACGGGTTAATTTGAGCAGCAGCATAAATTTCGAAAACACGTTCGATGGTTAAACATATGCGCAGCAGTATCGCAAACATGTGGATCGCATTCCTCTGAGGGTTTCTTAATATCTGTATTTATTGAAGTTTTTAAACCTAAAGTGATTTTAATTTAGTGCGTCATATTAGAAATGATTATAGGTTATTGCTTGAATGTTTATAGACCTGTTGACTGGTCTCTTCCGTCTGACGCTGTATACGCAACCCTGCATGTCACAGCCCGGGCGCCGCCCCTAGACCCCTCTTTCCCTTCATGGCTTAATCTTTTGTGAAAAGCATCTGATGGCAGCATATTGCAGCCACAGCTAAGATCTTATAATTGACCAAAAGCTTCTCAGAAGCCGTCATCAATGACAGTACTGATGTCTGCATGGTCTTCTAAAGGCAGCTTTAGTCAGCTTGGATGTGAAGTGAGTGGAATATACAGTTGAGTTTTTAATCAATGTATTTGTTCTCTATTGCAGATTGACAAGGAGTTTCTGCGAATCACCACAAAGCCTCTGCTATCTACTTTCTTTGCTGAGCTTGACCAATACGCACCACGCTTAATGGAAATCTTTCTGAGCAAAGGAGGGACACCTGGAAAGAAAATAAGAGGTCTCATGCTTGCCATCTCCAAGGTTTGTATTAGGATTGAGTAGACTTTGTCATAGGCAGCAAAAATAACTTTTATTTGGAGATGAAGTTGTCAATTTTGTTTCGGCTTAACAAATGATACATGCCCGGTTCTAACCTAAAGAATAATTATGCAAGTTAACTGATTGCCCTAACTTTAAGAAAAACAGCCTGGTTTTGGCTCATATTATCTCCTCCTCCTCTCCAGCATGACAACATCCATACCAGACGAGCATGCATCTTGAAGTCCTTGTGCATCTACCTAAACGAAGACTATGAGAAGTTACTAAAGGAGTACTTGGTGAGTCATTGTGACAGCATGTTGACTGTAACATTCTCATACAAATTGTGACGTTGCCTCATATGCAAATCGTTAAAATTAAAAATTTTGAGATTAGCAACAAGACACCTGGTATTGGGGAAGGGATGTCTTGAATACCAAACAGTATTAAGCGTTGCAATAAAGAATTTCTGAAATTTGGTATTGGAAGGAAAGAAATTTATGCATACCGTAGTTAAACTTGATACACAAACATACAATGCATTTAACATGCATCAAGACAACATTGCTTTTGAATCTGTACTTGGATTAAAACAAGTCCTGGTTTTTTTTTGTTTGTTTTTTTCATTGCTATGGTCATCAGTATTTGTAAATAGAAATGTCTATGAACTTTGAGCTGTTTAGTACTAACACTTCTATACCTGTTTTATTTTAGCAGCTGAATTAGCCTTTTCTCAAGTCCTGTCCCCCTAAGTTACTCTTGCTACGTCCGACAAACAAATGGTTTCCTCTGCGCACCAACGGGTACCCAAATGTGCGAGCAGACATGCTTCATAATGTTCGGTACATTTACCTGGGAGTGGGGCCATACGCACTGTTTAATCCATTCACGTTGTTTTTGACTTTGTGAATGGAAAGAACACAACTCCTCCAGACACAATCTCTCGGGGTATCGGTGGGCACACCGCTTCTCCATCTTGCTTGAGGTTAATGTTTGTCAGACACAGTAACGGTTGCTATAATGTGTAATTGGACAATGGCCCTTTCGGGGGAGGGGCTGGTGAGAGGTCAATTATGCCACCTCTTTTGACATGAGAGGTGTATTTTATAATTTATGTATTGGAGTAATTACTAACAACTACTTTAATGGTGTGTAATTTTCTGTTTATTACTTTGACTACTTGGATTTTATGAACAGCATAGAAACAGTTGTTTAAACAATCTCTTAAATTTTACTTTGTTGTCTTATATTTTTTCATGTAGGATACGGACAGCGAGGCAAAAAGCTGCATGGAGCAAACTGTGATGGGGGTGTACGTCATCCAGAAGGAGGGTGCTGAACCTGAAGATGACCCAGAGGACATTGGTGTCCTGATTGAGGGTGTGGAGGCTCTCACTGATTTGGGTAACATTGCACAAGCATGTGCTCTGTTGTTTGGACTCATATACTGTTTGAACCTGAGCTACCCACCAGAACTTAAATGCACCTTTGAAGTCTTCCAGAAGATACTTTTAAATCTTGATGGACAAAAGCTGTCTTCAAAGGCACAGTTTCTGAAAAACAAGCTTATGGGGTGAGAGCACTTGAAAATGACTGATAGGTCTTGAATGGTTCATTGGTGGAATGGTGATTTCCAATATATAATGTTAATATTTGAGTTGTTTATATTTCATTCTTTCATTTTTTTAAGTTTTTGGATTCTCTCTGTTGGGCAATTCACCTTTTATACAGCACTGCAGATGATTTCTGTTTGTCCTTATATAGATGGCTCAAAATGGATCAGAAGTACTGACAGAAGTACTGTTCTGTTAATTATTTTTCATTTAATTCTGAGTTTGTAGTATAGGTACTAATTCACACATACCATAATGCTGTCATGTGTTGAATGAAGATGTCATTGGAGTGCTTTAGTGCCCCCCTCTTTTTTTTTTTCTTTTTTTTTTCTTTTTTTTTTTCTCTCCTTTGTAGAACAAAGTCAACATTTTACAGAAACTGCATTGAGGGGTTTTCCCAAAGAAATGTTCATTGTTTTTAGCTGCACTGTTACTATGTTGTGTTTATGTGTCAAGGGCCTGTAAAGTTTAAGACCACTGCCACCTGTTAAGTTCACTGTATTATTGTGTCCATTTTGCTTGCTAGCATATTTTAAGACACAGCAAAACTATATTGCCAGCTGTGGAGGACTGCAACCAAAATTAAAAAATAAATACAGAAATATAAAAATTGGTCAAACTAATAATTATTACAATGAGATAAACCAAACAAATATAGATTTTCATTTCAAGTAATTAATTACATTTGAAAAAAAATTGTCATCTGTCATTTAATTTGATCTTAAGCCTTCTGTTTCTATTTTAGTTTTACTTCCTAAAATTTTTTTGATCCTTATTTTTATTTTTTTTTACCTATGGACTTTTTTGTTGTTGTATTGACCCCAAATTATTTCTATTTTTTTTTCTTTTTTTCCCCAAATTCACACAATAGTAATTCTATTTTGTTACATGTTTTAACTTGCCAAGTGGGAGATGTATTTTTATCTTTTAGTTTAATTTTTTAAAATACAGTTGATATATTGAGCAAATTTTGCATCTGTTTTTAGTTGTGGAAGCTTTGGTTCCAACATATTGCCTATGTAAATAAGTATTCTAACGTTTTACCTTTTGAAGTGGCATAATGCTTGCAGGTGTACAAAAATGGTAAGCTTTTATATTGTCCACTAAATCCAGTTAATAAAGTTAATGTTATCATAATCTGATTGTGACTTTTTTGTAAAGTAGTGGGTTTCTAAATGTGTAACAAATGTAAACAAATCTAATTGAAATAATTTGATTGAAATGAGTGAAATCATCAACCCACATATTGGTTTATTAAGCAAGACTTGCAGTAATTGCCTTGATTAACAAAGTAGTTGTTGAAACAACAAGATTTAATTGTGTTTCCCTAAACTTTTTAACTTGTGTAGAATGAATTAAAACAAATTTCACTCTACATACTTAAATAAATCACTTCAAATCAATGTAAGTATACTATGTTGATCCAACGTAATCTGATTACATTAAACCACCAAATGCTAAATGTGTTGGTTTGACATGATCGAAAATGGTTTATTGTACTTGGTTAAATTGTGTGCAAAAAGGGTGCCATGATTAAATTGTGTTCATCCAACAACAGATTTTTTTGAGTGTGGTTCGGTTTATGCATGGAAATTCACCTGGTTAGGTTTAGGCATTAAAAGGTTCTGGTTATTTTTAAGCACTAAAACATACTTGGTTAGGGTGGGAAAAGTTAGTATTCTGAACCTATCATCTGCTTGATACCTGGTTGATATAGGCTGCTGGCAGTCTCTGTTAAATCAGTTGCTAAGCCCATGGTAACCACTGGTCTCCCTTGCTGGTTCGTAAATGGTTGCAGGACGTTGCTTGCTGTCGCTAAGTGACAGCCAGCAAACCACTGCACAGGCAAACCAGCAACCAACTAGTGAACACACATTTTTGTCTCTAGGTCTGTGCAACAGGGCTGGCTGTAACTCAGGAGGTAGAGCAGGTCATCGTCTAATCAGAAGGTTGGTATTTTGAGCCCTGACTGACTGACTGACAGACAAGCACTTAGGCTAAGAAAAGGAAGATGAATGGATGATTTAGGCGAGTTGTATAAAGCGCTTTGAGTGTTCTAGTGTAGAACACTAAGCATTAGTCTATTTATCATTCAGCCTAAAAAAATGAGTTTGTCGGGCTTAGAGACTGAAAACTTACATCCAGTGGCTTTAGCAAAACTCCATTGTTTGACAGCCTGCAACTAGAACATGTGGGGTTGTCCACTTGGTGGAAGCAAAACAAAGCTCTGTTTAGATTACTTTCAGATAATCAGGTCAAAGAGGCTTTCACTTTGATGAAGTGGGTCAGTAGATAGAACCCTGAGTACTGGTAGTTATGGAAGATGTGTAAGTATATAAAAGTTGTTACTCTTAATAATAATGTGTATGTGCTAGTCCCCATAGGGAAATTACTACTCTGCATTTAACCCATTCACCCAGTAAAGCAGTGGGCAGCCACCAATGCAGCACCCGGGGAGCACTGTGTAGGGACGGTAACTTGCTCAGGGGTATCAGGGTAGCCGTTCAGTGGACTCAAACCCCCGACCTTCCGATCATAGGCAACCACTCTACCTACTGAGCTATCCCTGCCCCTCTTGGTGTCAGCTTGCCTTTCCTGTCTTCTGATACCTTGACAGAGTAAAGTTTAACTTTAGAGTTTGCATGAGTAATTTAAACTTTATGTACATAACTGCTTTAATTTCCCTAGATAGCGATGCAAAAGTAGGATATAATTATATAATATAATTAGCCAGCAGAGGCACAGGAAATTAGACTGGTATCTTCAAATCTTGAGGGCACTGATAAACTGTATCAGCTCATAAATTATAACCTTCAGTAAAACCTGTAATGTCATATATTATTTCTTCAGTGGTGAGACTCAACACTGAAATTATACACTGAATTCTAATGACCTTTTTTTTTTAACCACCATGTGAAAAAAGCCAGATAATGACATGGATCAGAGTAAAATGTCAGGAAATGTCTTTAAGTCAGGTTAAATTAAATAATGAATATGAGATTGGGGAACACACTGCTGCAGTGCCATCCATGCTGAGAAACAGATCGATTTTGCCAAGGTCTGACTTCAGAGAGAAACTGGTATTTTCACGCCGAGAATTACCAGACTCACTGCTCTCCCATCTGCTTTTTCATTGACAACAGATCAGCATGGTTCAGAGAGGATCAGTAGCTTGGAAATGTCAAAAGTGTCACAGTGAATCAATTCAAATTATCAGGTCAGAACCACATAAAGACCACAGCTTAGAACCTCTATCAAAGAAAGAGAAGTACACCTCAAGGGTGTAAAGAAGCAAACAACTATATGAAGTGAAGTAGAAAGATTCCTCTTCAAATAATTTAACACCACCTGAAAATTATCAAACAAGGCTATTCATACTGTAGGTTTAGTACATAATAAACAGCCAAAGGCCTTTACTCATCTAAAACACAAACAGAGAATATGTGGATGTAGTTTGGTCTTTCAGAAAGAACCAAAAGGTTTACAGTAGTTGCTGTTTGATGAAGGAAAGAATGCAGTTGTCTGAAGGGATTTGTTGGGGAGCCTCTTTGATTCCATGCTATCTTTGGCACTTTGGTCTGTCTTCTGAATTTGGATGTTTGATTACTGACGAAGAGTCTGGCAGCCTCTTAGTCACTGCTGTCTTATACGGTTTCACCAACACATCCTGCAAAGTAAATATATTATTAGAACATGTTTGGATTGCTTTGGAGGTGATAGTAAGTTGCAGTCTGGAAAAAAATAAATAAATTACCACCTTGTATGAGGTAGAGTTGTGTATATGGATCATGTTATATTCTCACAAATAGGGGTAGTGTAGAAATTAGCTTCTGTACCTACAGGTGCAATCAACATTAATTTATGCCTTGGGGCTAAGTACTGGACTTAAAGAAATCACGTGGGAGCCAAATAGGTAGATATATGTAGCAATGAAAGGACCATATTTGCACAGTTTCTGTCACGGCAGGGTCCGCTGTGTGAATCGACCCAAAGACACCAGGGAGATGAACTGAATTTTTTTACCAAAATTGAGCTGTTTATTAGCTGGAATCCTAAACAGAAAAAGAAGGCAAGACAAAACAAGCCGAGACTTTTCATTTACTAAATGCAATGAAAATAGAAACAAGACTTTCAAAATAAAGTAGGAAACACGGAGAGACATGAACTGGGACATGCAAGTTTGTCCCTGTTCATGTCCCAAATAACTTAACTCTACCCTCAACTTAAGAATAGCATATGATTTTAACATAATATTCACATAAGAAATTAACAATACAAAATAATTCAAATCACTGGGTCACAGACCCAGTCCCTGACAGTTTCTTCTGAATTTTAAGGTGCAATATCACAGGCAGCAAGAGTTAATAGAATATGAGAACTCACTGATTGGTACACTTCTTAATGTTTATTAAAGAGCATACACATAATCAATGCAGATGATAAAGCATGAGACATGCACAGTTACTTTGTAAAACACCTGCACAGGAGTTTTATGCATAAAGTTGTGCAGTAACATATTATGAAATTTGGTAATGTTCATAATAAACACAATGGGGAAAAGGTGATCTGTCGGTTTGTATGATTGTGTATTAATCTTTGTGCAAGACGTGCTGCTTTACCAATAACTGCTGCTCTCATCTTAACAATTTTAACTTTGGATAATTTACCTATGATGATCAGACCTGAGAGGTAGGCACAAGGTAACCCAGATAACACATTTGTGCAACTGTGCTGAGCAGAGAAACAGCTCAGAATGAACAATGCAGCCAACCATGAGGCAGATGGACACCAGAGAAAATCCATATCAGTCCTTCAGTCGTGTCAGCCAAGAACAAAAGTCTGAGGATGCAGCAAGCACAGGCTTTCCAGTACTGAGCAGCTGAAGACTGGTAAATAATATCCAGGTCTGAACCATTTCTGTTGCTGCTATGGGTCTGAGACAGCATACGCATACTGTTTGGGGTGCAAACAGAGACTTGTCCTGGTGATTTACTACCAAAATAAAGTGACTTTAGGCTCCTTAACACCAGTGAATCATCATTTGAATACCACAGCATAAGTGTACTCACCATGTTTATCTGTTTATGGCCACCACAGATTACAGTCTTATAATTTCTTCTTCTACCAGGATAATGAACCATGTCAAAAAGGGAAAGTCATTTGAAAATGGTTTCATGAG